TTTGCACGTCAAGATGTTTCAACATAATCTAACAAAACACCTTCTGCTGGCACACAACACATCCAGAGCACCTATCATAACATCTAACCCTGAGAACTGCACGTCTTCTTCCAAAAGACAGTTGGAGGAAAAACAGACAGCTTATTTCTTTTGGTCATCTGGTTCACTTGAGTATTACGACCAGGTTCTCAAACAAAAAACACCTTCGACTTAAAGCCCCCCCATGTCGATTTACTTCTGAGTGAAATAAATAAAGAAACACTTGTGAGTACTCTTCTTATGATAGTAGCAGAGAAAGCGTGGTGGGCTCTGGAACATTCTGTTTCTGTTCACTCCACACGTTTACATATTTACCATTAAGCACCGTGGCAAAACTGGGCATGTGTTTGTCCTGGCATGTGCAACCTGAAACAGAGGGAGAGGGCAAGCCAAGAGGGAAATGGAAAACAAGAGAGAGCAGAAGTTGGCTTTGTCTTACAAAAAAAAAAACAGATGCAGTAGCTGCAGTACCAAAACACATTTCCAGGACAGGAGATCTAATCCCGTTGACCCCTCTTCTCTCTCACTCTTTACGCCCTCGAGCAGTTGTTTGCTGCTGCAGTTGTTCTGTTGTGGTAGACAGTTCAGCAGTTTCTCTACTTGCCATATTTGTTCTCTAATTGCTCTCTAAGTGTCATATTATACATTTTGTATGAGATAATTTTTCTCCCTGAGGTCCACTTACAAGTGACGGTATAATTTTGTTTTTATAATTTACAACCCTTTCTCTGACACTTAAGGCAAGTTTACACCAAGGATGATAACTATAACAATATCTGTAAAGATTTAATAATAAATCTGATTCCAATTTTTTTTTTCTCCAGCCAATCAGAATGTAAAGAGCTCTGACATTTAAAGGGGTCATATGATGCGATTTCTATTTTTCCTTTTCTTTAGTGTGTTATGTGGCTATTTGTGCATGAATAAGATCTGCAGGGTTACAAAGCTCAAAGTCTCCCACAAAAGGATTTATTCTATCTAAAAGAGAAGGTTGATACAGACCGGGCTAAAACGCCTCATTCAAACACGCCCCCACATCTCTACGTCACGATGTGGAAATATCTGCGTAATGCCGCCCAAATGTTCATGCAAAGAAAGAAGGCGTGGTTTCAGGAACCGCAGTAGTGTTGATGCAGCCATGTCAGGGAGACGCTGCGTGTTTCTGTGCGAAAGCAAACGCACTTTATTTGGCCTTCCGAAAGTAGATGCAATGAGGAATCACTGGTTAAGATTTAACAGCACAATCCAGATGTTCGAATTTTTGCAACGCATTTTATGGACGACAGTTTTGTTTATTCCACACCGCTCTGTCCCTTCTCTGAGAAGCGGGCTGATCTTTTCCTGTTTTTATGAAGCCCCGCCCTCAGAAATAGGCGATGGGCTCTGATTGGCTAGCTAGCCCAGTGTGTTGTGACTGGCTAAACCGCCTCTAGTACGTGTCTAAATGTCCCGCCCCTTACCTCAGCGGCATGTGCTCCGGTTGTATTGTAAACAACGGCTCCATTAATATCGCTTATCAGTTTGAGCCCGATTGAGAAGCAGAGGATATTATTGAAGAGGATCATGCAAAACCTGTGCAAGCACGGCTTTTAATAGTAGGCCTATGTTTTTTGTTTGTTGTCGTCTCATACTTTTAGATATGCTGTTATTTGTAAATGCTACTGCTTATGTTAGCTTTTAATATACGGTTTTATCCTGATTAAAGCTTTAATACAGTACGGCAACTGCACGCGGGTCCATGTTTAACGCTTCTCATAGCTATGTGAAATTAAGTGTATAAATGGAAGAAGCCCCCAGGGGGGCGCCAGCACGTGTCAAGGGGGGCTCGAGCATCAGTTAATTCAGAGACGTTCCCTTGAGAATTTATGAATATGCGTTAACAAATCTTTAGCCATCCACTAGGGAGAAATCTGACTGCCACTGCTAGTCGACAGTTAGAGCAGAGTTAGCTCGAGTATCAGTCACGCTCAGTGTTGCCAAGTCCGCTGTTTTCCTGCAGAATTGGGCTACTTTAACACTTGCCGCGTTTTGTATATTTGGGCTAGTTTTGTAGCAATTAGGCGGGCTTTGTTGTGAAAACCTGGCAACCCTGGTCACACTTATTGACAGTGTAAGATGATTTACGGTTAGCCGTGTCGGAAATCCAACCACGGATTGGCATGTTGTTATCTCAGAAACAGGCTCAGCCATCACATTAAATCTGGTAAACTGGTTATATATTTATGTTTCAGTATAATTACGCACGCTATACCAGGGGCGGTTCTAAACCCTTTTTAGGTGGGTTGACAAGTATTCTTGTAAGCACAGTCGGGTGTTTTAAGTGAATGTAAACAGTGAAGAAAATATAAAATGTACATCAGTATAACGGATCCGTGCATTACTTATGTAAATAATTTTAATCAAAAAGAGCAAAAGAAAAATTGTTCGCTGCTTTAATAGCCATATTCTGTTACACCAAATACACCAAATAATGATCTTTAAAATAGCATCATATGACCCCTTTAAAGCAGCAGACGACATAACTGCAGTGTGTGTTTATAATAAGCAGAATGTTAACATCCGTTGGAGTGGATGCTATAGTTATCATTATAGTTATTTATATAGTTATCATTCTTGGTCTGAATGAGTCTTTACATCATGTTGTCACTCAAAATTTTGCCATCCTTTACTCACCCTCCACTTGTTCTAAACCTGAAAATAAATAAATAAATAGACTAATAAATAAATACTGTGGAAGTCGATGGCTACCGTCAACTGTTTGTTTACCAGCATTTTTCAAAATATCTTCTTTTGTGTTCAATGGAAGAAAGAAACTCATACAGCTTTCGAACAAATGAAAGGTGAGAAAATGATGACAATGTCAATTTTTTGGGTGAACTATCCCTTTAACATTCTTATTTGCATATTTGCAGTGTCAGTGTCATTCATTGGACGAATGCAGCATGCGACCTGTTTACATAACGGCTCTAGCATTGCGCATCCTTTATTTATCTATTATTGCAGACTGCCTTTCCTGAATGGACTTTTCAGACTATAAAGGTCTGCACTGAAATTCACATGTTTTCCGTCACCATTTGACACTTTTTTTTCTCTCAAATGCTGAAATGGCGGTTTATACAATGTGCCGTGTTTCTGTGACCATCCAAAGCATGTGATGAACCACATGATTGGGTGTCTGTTGCTAATCATCCAGCCATAACACTCTAACACGGCATCATTTCACACTGTACATGTTTATGTAGGGTTAACTACAACGTTAAGTTAACGACAAGTGAGAAACGTTCTTTTACGGGGTTTCAAACACCAATAACTCCGGGTTAAGCACAATGTGAAAAACCATAAGAGTTGTCAGAAGCTTAGTGATGGTGACACTGAAGTAATGCGATCGTAGTTTAGTTTGTTCATAGCCTACATTTAAAAATCCAATTGGGTTTTTGCCGTGGGAACCAGGGTGATACGAACCTCTGGGTTGGCCTACAAAAATATATCATCACTGTATTGCTCTATTACAGACCTCCATGATTGTGGCAGGTTTACAAAGCTGAAAAGTGCTGTTCAAACTGTTTAAATGATGAGAGGATCTGTTAAAAATTTCAGTTGTTTCTAACTGCCATTTTTGACATTGAGGGCACAAAGTCTCAGACAGTATTTTTGAGCGCCAAATCTGATAAGTACACTGCCATAACCGCTGGTCTTACTGTCTGAGAGATGCGATCAATGCTACAGGCGTCAGAGGTTTTAAAGTGGGACCTGTGGCCTTTGGAGAAATCCAGAGTGATGGATGGACATCATTCTTCATATCTCGTCTCCTCTCCCAAACACTTTTGCTCTCATTTACCTTGTCTCTTTCTACCCTGGAATGATTTTCAGCTGGTGATAAAGGGACGCACTCACCTCTTTCTGTACCCTGTGTTTTTGATGTGTGGCACCCCTGGAGCGCTAACCGCAGATTAGGGGAAATGGGTGCGGGAGAGCAAGATGGCTGCCGGAGGGCCCAGTGGGGTGATTTTAGTGATGAGTGAAGATTGGGTTTCAAAGTGATTGAGAAATGCTACACAAGCGAGGTCTACGGTGAACACCGGGGAAAAGACGGGGGCGTGGATCCGTGGGTCATGTGTTACCGCCCCGGGCAGAAAGAGAGGCCATTTAGTGGCCATTTTAACAATGATGGAATGGCAGGTACCACCTCAGCACCTGCATTCGAGACAGTCAGAGAAGGTCACACAATCTCTCTGTACCCCTGGGTGGTCTCTGTGGTCATTTAAACACCCGAGTATACAGATGACATAATGTGATGCATTCTGTGAGGTCTACAAGGTTCCTTTCGGGAAGCAGTTTAGCTCAAAAATTATTTTTCACGCAATTACTAACACTAACATTACTAATCCTAACACAACCTGAATATGAAAAAGTTAACAAGGAGGTCTATAATACTTGAATAAAAATATATGTGAGCATTCTTTTTGATCCCCCCCAAAAAAAATGCAATTTGAAATCTTCCACAGACATTTTGAAAAAATGGGAAAAAAAACTGACCCCAAACATTTGATCTATAGTCAACTTTAAATTGATAAATCAACAAAATAATTATATATTTATTCACTGATGAAACTGATCATTGATTCAATTATATGCCTAATTCTAAATGTCTGTTAATGGAGGAAGATTTAGAAATGTGGTCATACTAACCAGCCATTCCAAAACAAGTTGTTTCATCACTCATCAGAAGTACAAGCAACCGTTCAGGAAATGTAGTACCAGCAATAATTCTAAAAGCTGAATAGCTAATCAACACTATGTTATATTATGGATTCGGGTGTCTCAACCAGACTTTCTGAACCAGGGTCTAGCAATCAAACAGTTTCACGAAAAAGACCATCATGCCAAATAGAACAGCACCAAACCAACACGAACCAGCAATGGAAGCCATGATGTAGGTGAGATTTTGCTTGTTAACTTACGGGGAGATGCCACAGATTCTCCAGAGCCTTCACAGCCGTCCTCATCATCACATTCACCACTGCTATCTCCACTGCCTCTCTCATCCCAGGACTCCCTGTGCCCCACACCCGGCATGACCTCTTGAATCTCCTAAAAAGAAAAAGGAAAAACACAAATATCAGATCAGTATTCATCAGTATAAAATGTAGACGTGTACATTACACATAGAACCAAATCAGATACATCTAATTCTGAACAAGTGACTGTGTGTGTTGGAATAAACAACATGATAACACCATGGTACTATCTGTACCAAATGCCGTTTCGACAATGGATATTCAGATACGTTGTGCTCAATTAACTGTTTTTAATTTTGGACACTGGTTAAGATTATTGTTTCACTTCTTGAGACGGCTAGCATAACCAGAGGGTTAACTGACAGGTCTGGCCCAGGCATATCTGTGAACAGAGGGAATTTGGCATTTCTAAATGAAGTCGTGGACACCTCCAGCACTGGGTTCGGGCTAGAGCTGCTCCAGAGGACGGGTGAAACTGGTTTTCTATAGCACAAGCAGGGATGGGCAGTATTTCAGATACATGTATTTAAAATACGTATTTGAAATACAAAATTCTATTTTGTACTTTAAAGCCTTTGGAAAAAAATCAAATGTAATGTGTATTTAAATACATTTAAGATTAGTATTTTTGTATTTTCAAAATACATAATGTACCTTGTGCAAGTCAACTAGTTCAGGCACGCCCCCTCCTCCCAACCCCAACATTCATCATGTGAGCTGCAGCTGTACAGCTCCACTCAGCATTGGGTGAGCGACTTTTCTGGAATGAGGATGTCATGGTCAATTGTACTTGTTGACTAAAGTTAAAGGGGTCCTATTATGCTCTTTTACAAAGTCTTGATTTTGTTTTGGGGGTGTACTAGAACAGGCTCTCATACTAGGTTGATCGAAAAACACATTATTTTTCACATATTTTACATTATTACAACACCTCTCTCCCCAGTCTGGCATCAACGGCTCAAATAGTTCCTCTATCAAATGAAAGCCCGCCTTCTGAAATATGAAATGTGCTGTGATTGGTTAGCTGGGCCAGTGTGTGTTGTGATTGGCACCACAAATTCTGTGACCTGGTCAGTAAATGTCATGCCCCTTACCATAGCCGCCTGTGAGCTTCAGTGTAAATATTGCGTCAATATCAAATAAATTTGAGCGTGATTTAAACCCAGATGATTGTAACCACTCTAAGGTCGTCTGCCTTGGGAAAGCTAGCGTGTCTCCGACATAGTGATAATAACACTCAATGCCTTCTCTAGTGCAGCTCAACCAGGTCTCGTCCCATTCGTCGATATTTGTGATATCAATATATGCGTTGTAGTCCAAACGAGTCGTTCGTTGTAGTTTTTGAAATGTGTTTTCTATTAAATAAAATATCTCCTTTTGAAGTGGACTTTGTAGCTTTGTAACTTTGCAGATCTTTTTTATGCTCAAACAGCAACATTACAGACTAACTAAAGTTGAAAAAGTGAATACCTTTAAAATAGTGTATCGTTTGCCTTCAGTTAACATGAAAGAATAAAAGAGCACCAACAAGGGAAAAAAAATAGAGTTAGCCAATCAGTTCTGATTAATCGGTGTTAATCGGTTGTTGTTGTTTTATCAACTAGCTTGTCAAATGTGTTTAAAGCATTACTGCATATTAGGGCTGGATGAAATGACAATACATAATTTGGCGATGATATAAAGTGTGAATAGTTCAGTCAAGTGTGAATTGATTGAACTTTTTCTAAATCAAAGTTTTTCAAAATAAAAAGGCCTATCGGGGTAAGCAAATATATCCATGCAGCTTTTAGTGGGAAAACGTTGGAGTGGAAAAAGAAGCATGGACGAATGGTTGAGTAATAGAGTAATAGAGTGTGATGTGTTTGGTGCAGCTGCACTTACACCACAAAAAATCTTCAGGTTTTGGTTTTATTGTTTGTTTATTTTTGTTTTATGTTTTTTTTGTTTTGTATTTCCTACAGGGCAGGGGAAAGGAAGAGGTATGTAAAATGGAAACGGAATTTTCTAAGCAATTTGGACACGTTTTTTTTTTCAGAATAGGTCCAGATAGATTTCCCCCTATAGGGATGCCTACATTGGATAGCCAATTTCACATGTATTTTGTGTATTTTTCAAAAATCAAAACACTGTATTTGTATTTAAAAAAAAAAATTCCACACAGTATTTTGTATTTGTATTTTAAATACATTTTCATGTATTTATGCCCATCTCTGAGCACAAGCAAAAATATTTTTAACCTACACACACAAAATATACATACAGTGGGGTCAAAAACTCAACCTGGAAATAATCATAGAGACATTTTCACTAGTGGTCTCAGACTTTTGGACCCCATTACAGGCCTATAGACAGTCAAATCCACTCCACTGCCATATGAATCTTTCCACTGACATTTCACTAGATTTTCCTTCTCGTGCAGTACAAGATTTTGAGCTTAGGCGGTTAAAGAATTTGATTTGAATCTTTCACTACCTGCTGGGGACTAAATGTCACAACACACTCCCTATATACAATTCTTTGAAAGTCACTTTGCACAGAAGTGCCCACTGAGGAAATAAATGTCAATGTAAAGGTCAAACTCGCATAACCCTTTAACCTTTGAGTCAGCACAATCAAGCTGCACACGCTAGCCGTGACCTTTCACCCCCTGCCCAGGGCTTACGAGTCAGCTAGAGATGTGAAGCTATAGATAAATATAGCAGGTTGGCCAGGAGCTAGACAGACAGATAAATATAGACGATATTAATGGACAGTAATGACAACGGCTCCACACACATGGTTCAACCCTCACTGCTTGGCTTTCTAACTTTGTCCTGACAAAGCACATGGACGCCTTTCAAAAACGGCCACGTGCAGATTGACGCAAATGCAGAAGATGACTCGTAACCTCGACTGGTGCTCTAGGGAATGTGTTTCATCACTGCAAATTCACCATCATGCACAAACTCAAACCTTTTCTATTCCTTACTAAAGACCTCATACGGAAGCACTGATTTCATTCATATTTTTAGATCAGACTGATTTTGTTTTTTTCCAGTCTGAGAAGCCTGATCAAATTGCAAAGCCACAAACCCAAAAACCATTGAAGTAACTATTTCCAATACACACGAGAGCGTCATGAAGCTGCATTTCTCATGTGTACCAGTCTTGTTATTGGTAAATAACCAACTAATCTATTAAAAATCATTTTTGTTAACCTAAAGCTGAAATAAAATGCAGTATAAATATTAGTTGAAAAACTTAAACTTAAGAAATAGAAAATTTGAAATGTCACCTTGGCACCTAACTGAAATAAAACAAGTTAAAGTCAAAGTACTAAAATTACTTCAACTAAAACTGAAATAAAAATAAATCTAAATAGAAAATAAATAGAAATATTAAAAACAAAGCCCATTAAAAAATATTATAACAAACTAAAATTAAAAGTTAAACTGAAAATATAAAAAAGCTAATTCAAAATATTAATAAATACTTATAATAGTATACCAATAATGCTATAATAATATTGATGTATACCTTAGTATTTTTAATTTTACAGCTTTCAGGATTCACAACAACATTCTATGAGAGTTTCTAAATCTGTGAAGGTCTTTCTAAATCGATGCACCGCAAATCATTTACAAACATGTACAGTCTTCATCAGTTGTTCTCAACTGGTTTTTCTTCAGGACCCAGATTTCAAGTTGTGATCAGGTACTATAATGGTTTATCATACAAAATGTACATAAAATGTCAATAAAATTAGAAATGCATTTAATATTACCAATAACTGCATAGGCCTAACAATTTGCACAATTATTAATATGTCAAGTTTCGAAGTAATGAATCAGATTTCAATTTGAAATTAACAACAAAATATTTACGGAACTAATAATAATAATAATAAAGCTTATTTTATGTTCAAGGGAAAAGTAGGTGGCAAAAGCAAATAATAACTCCCATACAATCATGTTACATGGTTATGGGGAGTTATTTATTGCATTTACCTTCTAATTTTTTTTCCACTGCTGATCGTGACATTATTAGACATTATTAGACATGTGAGCCATTTGTGGGTCGCGACCCACAGATCTAGAGGTTGAGTGTACAAATTGCAGGTAAAATACGTCTCGTAATGCCTCATCTGAAACTCCCGGTCATGATGACAGATGCTTTTCAGCATTCTGATGCCAACCCTATTCCTGTCTGCTAATCTATTTCATTGGTAGGTACATAGTACTCCTGCATTGAGAACATGCCCTGCTGCACTATCAATAGACATAATGCACACTCGCTCAGCTCAGCCCAGTACAGATACAAACACACACACCTCCTCAACCCCAGCATATTGAAACATATAATGGAAACATCATGAAAACAGGATTTTCTCTGCTCTATGGAAATAAACGAGTTGGATGTACTATACAGTCATACAGCAACACTGTTTCCCAGCCTACATGATTTTAGTGGAACTGTTTATGATTTCACACAAATCAAGAAATGTGCAACACAGAACTATACAACACAGTCTTTCCTAGCTGAGTAACAGAATAAATATATAGTTCAGTCATGAAACTCTAGTTGGCGCAGGTGACAGGTTGTTAAATGTAACCAATGATATTCAGAGAGTTAAACGCTGTAAAGTTGGGCATTTTAACATGGGGAGTCTATGGGATTGACTCCCTTTTGCAGCCAGCCTCTAGCGGTCAGTCGATGAATTACAGTTTAAGTCACTTCCTTGTTGGCTTCACGAGAGAGAGCGGGAGGTTGCCGCTCGGTCGTGACCCACCAGAGAAGCACAGATCTAGAGGCTGAGTGTACAAGTAAAGTGTGCAGGTAGAGTTCTTCTCATAATGTCTCATCTGAAACTCCCGGTCATGATGACAGTTGCTTTTCAGCATCCTGATGCCAAACCTATTCCTGTCTGCTAATCTATTTCATTGGTAGGTACATAGTACTCCTGCATTGAGAACATGCCCTGCTGCACTATCAATAGACATAATGCACACTCGCTCAGCTCAGCCCAGTACAGATACAAACACACACACCTCCTCAACCCCAGCATATTGAAACATATAATGGAAACATCATGAA